CTTTTAACAACTTGTTTATTGTAATTTTGACTATGTTCAGCCGACAAAATGTTTTCGCACTTGTTTGGCTGCGAACCAGCTTCATTGAGCTTTCCAGATCTATGCATTGCCTCTGAGCTACAGAGAGCGCGGGATACAGTGCTAATTCTTGTGTACATAGATAGCCACTCAATAAACAAATTATTGTCAATTGCATGGATGCAATATTGGGGTTTTCAGTAGGATTGTTAAAAGGTGAATGATGTACTTGCTAACATCCCTCTATCAGTGTTTTCCTTAAACATAAATAATTTTAATACCTACAAGTAAAATCCCTATTTAGTTTTTGTTATCCAAACAATCTTATAAATCGATCAACTCAGTGTGTATCAGTGTGATGGAAGTGGCAGGTGGACAGCGTGTAGTCCTATTCCGCCCGAGTTTTATTTCGCCCGTAGCCTAATTACTCCCAGTTCGCCCGCGGTCCCAGATTAACCCCTATAATCCTCTACCTGCGTCAGGAGTCCTATTCCATCCACGGAGGCGAAGCCCCGCCTCCTAGGACCCCACCCACCCCCAACTATGTAAAAGCCCTCCCCTACCCATCACCCCTACCACTTTATAATCTGGAACTTTCCTTTGGGTTGAAAAGCTTCAACAGTAATCTATATTGATAAATGCTTACGACATAACAGATTAATATAATAAAACTGACTGTCCATGAACGCGTCATTAAAGCGTCATTAAACTGTAGGTCCTTTAGTTGCCATTAGCTGTATGGGCTATTAATTAACAGCTGTGTCCAAGGATTATGTCGGCCTTAGTCACTAACAAGACTACAAGATCGCGCCACTCATCCCACACTCATCTCCATTCATACTTGGCTTAAAATACCTACATTTGTATGGTCGCCATTTCAAAGAAAAGTATTAAAGTATTAAAGTTAGTTACTGTACGGTAACTGTATGTTTCTGTACGGCAAACAGAAACACATGATAACACTGCAATCCAAGACATGGCCAAACAACGGCAACTAGTTAGCTGCTTCTAGTGTTAAATACCCAACTGCACACCTTTGAGTTTTCTTTATTATAGCCTACAATGTAAATAATTCGCCTATTGGGTCTGATGATGATTGGAGTGTCGAATCAAACTCTTGCCATCTTTTATGTATATTTATCGTCTGGTGAGATAACAGTATAAGAGCACAAATATATGTTTTAAGTGTTATTAGACGTTTTTTTTTTACTTTTCGTATACAATGTAATGTAGTAGTTAACGCAAGGAATACGTCAAGATAGTGTCGTTTATTTTATTTACGCAAGTTGCGTACACTACTTTACCTACGACAATATTTGAATTACTTATATCACTATTCATAGCTCCTAAGAGAGGTTACGTTTTCGTTTAATTTATAAAATCTCATTCCCACTGACAGTGATGCAACGAACTATTGTACCAAAGCTGCTTTGTAAATAAAAAAATGCTGTTAAGGGAATCTTTTTAATTCTAAGAATTGCACTGAAATGGCTAACTTAGTAGATGCGTGTTTAGCGTGGAAACGGGTGAGTGTTGTGATGTCAATTAAAACTTAAAACAAATAAATATTTTGTATAAATGACAATGTAAAGAAAAATATTGTTCGTAACTCGTCCTAAAACTAATATTTTAGTGCATTATGAAAACGCTGCTCCCTCGATATTTAAAATCTATGTTTTTAAACAACAGGAATGAAAACATTGACGAAGACTTAGTATAACCTAAAATAATGCGGTCTTATTTTTAAACAATTAGAGGGCTATTTTCACAGAATGATGGTTGTTAGACAGTTATGCTTGTTTAAATTAAAATGAAAATGTACTACAACTAATGAATCCTCGTTCGGTCATTTAAATTCGTCAAGTACGGTACACAAATTATTCTCTAACCATAGAAAAGAAACAATTTAACTTCGAGATGTATTACGAAAAAATGTTTGACGAGGAAAATGTTATTCAAGATATTGTTTACATACCTTTGCCACGGTTATGTTGTCTTCTTGTTGGACCCTCTTCTTAGCGTTAGCAATAGCTTTTTTCACTTCTAACTTTGCAACGTCCGGAATACACTGATGAGCTTCTTCCCTCAACACTACTTCTTCCTTAACAATCACCTTTCCGAGACAACCTCCGTTATACGATATACTACACCACCAGATCACTTCACCAGATTTATTCTCGCGTTTTTTATAATAACCATACCCGTTGTAAATAAGACTAAGCGCACCTCTATTAGTAGTTGTGTACTCCATCGCGATGTGTAACAATCAACGGCACATATGGAAATGAGTTAGCTCTCATCTCCCCAAAAAGAAGCATACCGATGACGAATCCTTAATGGCCACCCTCTCGTGGAAAAATGCGAAACTCTGCTATTTCTCCCCTGTTATTTCGCACGGACAACGCTTGGACTTTATAAGTCAACATCCCTCGCGCTTCATCCACATCTTGTCAACACATCTGGTTATTCATGAGAAAATATTGTCGTAGGTAAAGTAGTGTACGCAACTCGCGTAAAAAGAGTAAACGACACTATCTTAACGCATTCCTTGCGTAAACTGCTATATTACATTGTATAGAAAAGTAAAAAAAAGATAGTCTAATAACACTTAGAACTTTTGTGCTCTCATACTGTTATCTCACCAGACGATAAATACAGGGTGGCTGGTCATCAGTGTCACAAAATTTTTTTGGCGTAAGTACAAAGTAAATGCAGTGTAATGATGCATATAAAAGGTTTCAAGTCCAAAAATTAGCTTCCCAAAGAATTATTTTATGTTTTTAAAAAATAACTATGTTTTCAAACTTAATACAGCTATTTCTCAATTACCTGTACATGGATTTGAGTAGACAATGTCATTTTCGTGTTCTACATTAAATATTGAATAAGAATAATTGAAAATGACAGAGGATCAGTTGTAAAAACTCCATTGTAAATAGATTAAAAGATAAAAATTAAGACATTTAAGACATTGTTAACAGGATGTCTTTAACATTTAAAACATAGAAAGCCGGTATGTATTAAGCAAAAGTTGTATTTTTGTTTCAGCTTTAACAGTAAAAACAGTAAAAAAGTTCCCTGTTTTCTGGTATTCAAACCACTAAAACAAACAACAGAATATCTAAACCTCAATAGTGTAGCATATGGTTGGAAAGCTTATAAAATTACGCAGTTTTTAACATATTCGGACACTTTCTTGTATACAGGGTGTGAACAAATACAATAGACCAATGTTTTTTTTTAAATTTTTTTCAAACATCTTAATTTTTATCTTTGAATCTATTTACAATGGAGTTTTTACAACTGATCCTCTGTCATTTTCTATTATTCTTATTCAAAATTTAATGTAGAACGCGAAAATGACATTGTCTACTTAAATCCATTTACAGGTAATTGAGAAATAGCTGTATTAAGTTTGAAAACAGTTATTTTTGAAAAACATAAAATAATTCTTTGGGAAGCTAATTTTTGGACTTGGAACCTTTTATATGCATCATTACACTGCATTTACTTAGTACTTACGCCAAAAAATTTTGTAACACTGATGACCAGCCACCCTGTATACATAAAATATGGCAAATGGTGATCGAGTTCGATTCGACACTCCAATCATCATCAAACCCAATAGATGAATTATTTACATTGTATAATAACGAAAACTAAAAGGTGTGCAGTTGGATATTTAACACCAGAAGCAGCTAACGATTGGCCTTTGTTTGGCCATGTCTTGGATTGCAGTGTTGTCGTATGTTTCTGTTTGCCGTTAAACGCAATATTTTAAATAATTAAATTGCTTATTTGCACATTTTGGATAGGGAGACAAACATACAGTAACTAACAGCACATAGGTAGCAAATTTTATTAATCTGCTATGTCGTAAACATGTATCAATATCACTGTTGAAGCGTTTCAACGCAAAGGAAAGTTCCAGATTATAAAGATTTAACATATCTTTACAACGGCTACATCAATAAGGGCACATGCCTCTTTATATTTTAATGCTAAAAACTTCGTGTTTAAACTTTACATTAATACTATAAAGGAAATTCACTTGGTTTGTCTGGTTTGTCAATCGGAGGTGGATAACCGGGTGATGGGTAGGGGAGGGCTTTTACATGGTTGGGGTGGGTGGGGTCCTAGGAGGCGGGGCTTTGCCTCCGTGGATGGAATAGGACTCCTGACGCAGGTAGAGCTGAGGATTATAGGGGTTAATCTGGGACCGCGGGCGAACTGGGAGTAATTAGGCTACGGGCGAAATATAACTCGGGCGGAATAGGACATAACCGGTGGACAGTAGTGGTCTGAGGGGTAACTACCAACCCCCTTGTGAGGAAGAATAGGGTCCCAAGGTCAACTTCTCTAGGCCGTATGAAATAAACTCGCAGTTAGTTGTACAACACGACAGCAGGTGTGTGCGTGAATTAGGAGAACCCGAGAGACAATACAGGCCTATGTAAATACACAGTGTTGTTCATTATCAGCGATTGTTAACAGTACTACTGTACTCGTGAAAAAGCGGTTGCTGAATTTAAGGAAGTACTTACTTTTGAATACAATGTTATAAAATACAAATATTTGATCAAACATTAAAAATTTGTTATAAAATACCGTAATTTTTCCCAAGTTTTGTTGTAATTCAAAACCTCCCCCCTCCATAAACGACTGTGTAGCCCGGATCCTGCTGAACCTAACCTCCACCATGAACCTAACTACCACAGTAGTGCTCAACTAATTAACGTAATTAACTGATGCATCATTATAATAACCTGTAGTGAAGCGACCACAGTATCTATTATGCAGTTAATTATCAAAATATGCCTTTATCTGTACACAATGTGTACCATTCTACAAAATTTAGAATAACGATTAACTACCTGCGATGCACTGTAGACTTGTACAACGAATGCAAAACAATTAATTTCGCTTGTTACTTTTTAGTGTAAGTTTAAGACAGTGCAATCACGCATGTACTGTTTGTTTACCTGTCCTCCGCCTGAAGGTCAAAGCACGACCTATGTCCTCCCAGATGTATATCTTCTCCTTCTTGAAATCCGGATCAGACATGTTCCAGAGGCGAGGGTTCGCGTGGACCAACTCTATCAGCTGTTCGTCTTCGTCCGTTCGAAACTTTCCGAGCACATGTCAACTGAATTGAAAACTTTGAATTCTAAAACGCAAACAGCCGTTCTGTTACGCAGCGCACTCAGTACTGAGCGCTGCGGAGCGTGGCGGATGACGCATCGACATTTTCTGCTGCGCACTCCGTACTGCGCTGCCGACCATACTGTACGCGTCTAGTTCAGTTGGTGGCGTCGATCGATTAGCCACTACTTCTATGGTCTGCGGAGTCTGTTTAGGTGTACGCTACACATACTGGAATGTTTACTGAGCAATGTACACAGGTCTTTTGTGTGTTGATAGATACGTTGATTGATATATAAGCGGTTTTAAGAATTATTTCTATTACCTTCCGGAAACCACCACAACAAGTTTCTACTATGTATCAGTAGTTCCTATATTATCAGGATATACAATATACTACTGATCCTTCTAAATAGTGTCTCACTATTTGTTAGGTGGTGGTTTTCTCTTTAATATCCTTTGTTACAATATTAAATATACTACCTTAAAGTGTATACTGTGAGCGCAACAAGAACTGAACATCTTTTGTAATCAGAAATCAAAATAGGCAATTCACGAGTTTTAAAATTTAAATCAAAACTGCTTGTGCAATATTATATTAGATCAAGGTCAAGCCAACGGCCGTTGATATCAGACGGGCATTCAAATGAGTCATCAACAGAGTCAATGACTCGTATATTCTTAAAGCAGATGCAAGTGAAGGTCCGAAACAAACTTTTACTTATGTGGTTAGATTAAATTACTTAGGAACTGTCAAATAATTTTTAAGTTATTGTGATCTGTCAGTTGAAATCAAACACTTCTTTTAAACCCCATACTTACTTTTTTTGGTTTGTGAATAGTGATTTTATTAAAAAAATTAACACATTGGTGTTTCTTATTTTGCTTTAACTTTAGTATACTATTGTAATAATGTATACTATGTCTGGCTTTCAGTAGGACGCACGAACCAATGGAAACTGGGCTAAATTATTTTATTGTGAACGTATTCCTATTTCCTAGTCATATCCTGATTCAAAGCACAGTTTCAAAATACTGGTGTCCATCATAGTGGTCGCATATTCGTTGAATACTATTTTATACTGGTTTTGTTTACGTTTCTCTAGTCCTATCGATTGTGCACTGAAAAACGTCCAATCGAAAATAGACAAAGAATTATTTTATTTTGCAAAACTAAAGCATTAATTTAAACCCTTTGGAATACCTACCATTATATACAGAAACTGAACCTACTTTATTATTTAGGTATTTAATCCATGATACTATTATAGCTTTCCTAATGTTCAAAGGAATTTCCCCTCATTTTTAGTTAAGCTATATCCTGTTTAAAAGTAACTGATAAAGATACTGGTCTTCAACTTCAACATTGTGGTACGTTATGCCAATTTCTTTGTCTACATATCCCTCATACCATCAGTTTTACACTTTCCACTGATTAAAGATAAAATCATTAGAAATGTAATTCTAGTATCTATTTATTCGTTACGAATAACATAGATTATAGAAACTAGTTGCGTTCTGTTATATAAACAGTGGAGATACTGCAACTTTGTCTAAAATATATTTATGTAACTAGTGGACGAAGTAGCACTTAGCTGCACATGAGAGAAATGTTTTCGTTTGCCGAGTGCAGCAAAGGCAGTTTGCACTCGCGTTACACATTCCATCAGTGCAAGGAAGGCCACTTAGTCAGGTGACTGTAGGAAAAATACCCCCGCCGCAGCAAACCTGCCGACTAAGCGAATTTCCATTTGTCTGAATTGATTTTCAGTTAAATATATTTTAATAACATTAGGTTTAACGAGTACCTAGGTTTGCTGCTACAAGGAAACTAATAAAGTGTGTTTTTGAGTTAAATATTGATAGCTTAGTACAAAATAAATAAATTTGCCAAGTTTGATCAAAATATATCTATAAACAAGCAAACTACAACATTTGACAATATTCTCCATAAGAATAACATGGGAATTTTAAATTTACAATTTGTTTTATTTTCTCCGTTACTAATAATCGAACAAAAATACTTTTATATACTAAATTATTTTTTTTTTAAGCTCTTTAAAAAGGTCTAAAGAGAAATCGGGAAATTTTGTGTTTTGAGGGTCAAAAGTGAGAAAAACCAATTTTTACCCCATAAAACCCCCCGTAAAGCCCCGTTCCCATGGTCCGATCGTGCTGGTTCGCGAACTCATTCAAGTTTATCCCGCTTTACACCTTTAAAACAAATTTCATCAAAATCGGACAAAAATTACTCAAGTTATCGCGTTCACGGACGTATATATATATATATATATACATATATAAAAATTTGAACGAATAGTGTTTTTGGCCCCTGGGGACATCAAAATGAAAAAGTAAATCGGTCCCGGGTCTAGGTCTTACCGTGCCACCTACGGTAATAGCTACTTCCCTATAGGGAAATTCGCTAAAAACTATTTAAGTACAAATATTTGTTATTTGTGTCACACTGTATCTGGTTGAAAAGTACAGGCACTACCTACTATGAAGTATGAAAGCTAAAGGCTCCACATTTGACCATTGACTAAAATTTCACTTTTCAAAAGTGTCTTAATATTAAAAGTTTTATCAACACAAAAATATCGCGTTTGGCTGGTTCTTTCAGCGTCTCTGCGTTGCACCGCGCCGTGACATACATTATTTAGGCCTACATCCTGCAGGAGCCTTGCTCCTAGTGACGTCATGTCACCGTCACGTGTAGTCCAATGTGACGTTCACAGTGCGTCATACGTCACGCTGGTCACGTGATACAGCCGTGACATGTCTCTCTTGTGACGTCATGTCACCGTCACGTGTAGTCCAATGTGACGTTCACAGTGCGTCATACGTCACGCTGGTCACGTGATACAGCTGTGACATGTCTCTTATCTCTGTCACTGATAAGAGTTGCGCAACCAGTGACGGGTCATGTGGCTGTAATTACATTTCTTTATCTGATTAGACTATTTGCAATCGATATCTTATCGGTGATCGATTATTTGATTTTACGATTATTGATGTCTGTCTGATAATAAAGTGTAAATATTGAGATGAAAATATAGACTTTTTAATACTCCACGTGATACACTATCGTGGCTAATTTGTTTCTTTAAATGTTTATCTCAGATTAGTTGACATATTTTGCAATTGATACACTATTGTGAAGTAGCTATTTCCCAAGTCCAAGTGTTAACCGGTTAAAAAAAGAACTGATGGAGCGAGGTGCTACAAAATATAGTTTTCTATTTTAAATCTGATTTGTTAATCATGCCAAACATGAAAGGATAACTTTGTCGTCCTTAATTTCCCCACTGAATATCACGGTATGAAAAAGCAAAAGAGGAATTACAAGTTGTATAGCAACACACTTGTCGATTGTTTTAATTAATAGACCAAAAACCCCTGCTACAACTGGTAAAACTGTATAAGCTGTATATAGTCATTGTCTACAAAAATATTATTACTTATTGCTGTCTTGTAACAAACACAGAATATACTGGAATAGTTCTGTTACAACTATAATGTATACGCTTTTTGAATGTAATGTCGTAAAATTGCAAAAACAACAAGTTTTGTCATTGACTTTGTGTACTGCAAGTGGACTTGGCTTCCAATTGTAAACTTTGAAGCCTACGTTGTTGTGGGCTGATGTTGACAAAATTGTCTCGGTTTTGAAGGGAAATACTCTATTTAGTGTCTTACAGGTCATGCATTTATCAACAAATAATTGTTTATTAATTTTGTTGTAATTGTTTTTAATGAATTCAAAGCCTCGCAAGCGAGCGTTTGTAGACATAAAGAAATCTTCAAAATATATTTAGCTCAACTATAAGGATGTCAAAACCCATAGAGGTTTAACCTGAAGTTTACGAATGGAACTAGACTGACTATTTCTCACTGGTCAAGTGAAAGGAGATTTCGAGATAGTTTTATTTCTTGTGAAATTGTTCGATTGATAAATGTCATGCGATGATTATGCTTTCCAATTTCAGATACAATTATGTCATTGATTTAACAGTTCTAAATCTGAATGTTGTATTGAGAGCTATTCATGGGAAGTGTCACTGACATTGCGTTGTAGCAGGAGGAGCAGGTCCAGTTACATCAGACCTACATGAGTCATGATGAGTCATCCTCTGATGATCATTCTGCGACTGCGTGGTCCTGAGTAGTGTTCCACATAATTATCACTCGATGGGCAGATTTCAGATATCGACAATTCAATAACCTTGGTTCTTATTATCTGGTTCCCCTCGTCAACATTAAGCTAAACATGTTATTGTAGATAACTCACAGTTTTTAGGCATTGTTTGTTAATGATTGATCAATACCCCAGTGACAAAAAAGATAAAAAGTTTTATTGTTTGTACAATGTTTATGTTATGTAAATAACAAGTTTTTCCAGGTGTAGTAAATATATTTTTCCTACAGTCGCCCGACAAAGTTGGCTTCCCTATACTGTTTATAGTACAGAAAGCTGCTAATTGCTGCATATTTATACTTTGCCGTACGGTTTATACTTTGCCGTACGGTTTATACTTTGCCGCACATCAGGATTCCAACCAAACAACACAAAACAGCGTGGTTTTATTATGCACGTAATCCGTGTACGCTTGGAAATAGGTTGGCAACACTTAAAGATAATAATTCTATGAGCAGCTGATTGACTAATTATAACTACGATTTAACCTGTCATTTCGTGTTTATAGTTTCGGTATTCCTGAACTTTCTGGACTTTTCTTTTAAACGTTTTTAAAATATTCCTACGATCTTAATAAAAAAAAAAATACCTTTTAAGCATTTTTTAAGGCGCGGAAACCACTTCAAATTACTAAAACATACGGAACTATATTCTCAAAACGCGTAGCAAATTTCTTGCCGAGGAAAAATAGCGGAGTGATACGGACCGCGGGTACTACTTTCTCTAGGGTACCATTTTTGTTGCCAGCTGAACCTAAAAAAGCTTTGTATAGTGTTTGAAAGACTAATTATTTATATGCTTTATAGTGACTGTAGGAAAAATATAATGTGTAACACGAGTGAAAAAGGCCTT